GGAAGAGGAGGAGGACGAGGAAGAAGAGGAGGAAGAGGAGGAGGAGGGAGCCTATCTAAATGTACCAACATGGCAAAATGCCCTTGACATAGTGAGATTTTAAAAACTCACCCTGAGGAGCAGTACGTACCGCGGGATACATAGACTACGCGCTTGTCTAACATAGAGGTAAGGTGCTCAGGCCAAGGGATCTAAATGCCTGCGTTTGATCCCTGGCCCTCGGATGTACTGGCAGGGATCTGAGGGACTGTCCTTACTTCTGGTCTCAGTGCCCTCGAAATCATGAAAATTAGTGAGTTCATGTCCATAAGGCACTTAGAACAGGGCCCAGTGCAGAGCAAGCACTCCAGAGGCATTAGCTACAAGAATAACACAAAATTCTATGCATAGCAAAGCATTAAGAGTGGTCAGAGGCAAGGGAAGACTGGGGGGACCCTCACTTCTTGCTTCACTTTTCTATTTTAACTCTATGAAAGCTTCTGTTACTTTCAAATGTTAAGAACAGTGAAGGACTGAATGGTTCATAAGAAAAAAAAAAAAAGAATAGTGAAAGAAATCAATGTTTTTAAAAATTGAGTCTACAAGGAAAAGGGTCTCTCCCTGGTGGACATGTGTTTATTTTTCTGAGAAAGAATGGTCGAGTGGCTCTTTGGGGAGGATTAACTTGGGATGCAGATCGGAAAGCTGTCTCACTGTGACGTCTCCCATTTTACTAACAAACTTTTTAGGATGTGGTCTGGAAGCCCACGGAGTACCCAGGATAATCTTTCCCTTCAGGACATAGAGACTGACGCATAGGAACCAGCTCTGTTCTTATCGCTCCCGGCCCCACAGGGGGAAATAGCCTTGTTTCCACCCAGCGCTCTGTGGAGCCGCAGCCTTAGCTCTGAACGTCGGCCTGCCAGTCATCTCTGTGCCACACCTTGGGCCTCACCGCCACCTCCGTCTCCCCTAAGCTTGCCCATCACTGTCCCTGCCCCGTGGTCCTCGATGACATCCTTGACCCAGAGACCCAGAGACCCAGAGACCCAGAGACCCAGAGACCCAGAGACCCAGAGACCCAGAGGTGGTTTGGAGGTCCCCAGGCCACACTGGACTACAGCTTTTTCCAATTTCTTCTCATGAAGTCTGAAGTGCGGGGAAAGAGTCTGAGTCTTACCTGGAAGGCTTTGTGTGAGGCTCCTTCACAAAGGAGGGCAGGGTGAAGAGGAGGAAGAGCAGCAGGGCCAAAAGCAAGGGCCACAGGACACTGGAGCTCAGGTGCGTGAGTCTCCGTGGACAGAACCTCATGGTGGGGGCTGGGACCTGAGGGAAACGCCTGCAGCTCCCGGGGCTGGACGCAGGGGCCGAGGGAGCCCTGCTGTGTGCTGGCCGCAGTGCACGCCCTTCCCTCACCCTGGAGTGGGTCAGTCTCTGCCAGGGCAGGGAAAGGAGGAGCCGCTTGCGCTGCTCTAGGAAGGCTTAGCTGTCGAGGCTTGAAGGAAGAGAAACTCCTTTTGTTCAAACAAGTCCACTTTTTTTTTTTTTTTTGGTCTCTGAAGCCAATTTCTGGATGTAGAACTTTATGAGAAACACACATAAGTTACATGAACTTCACTTTTATTGGGTTACTCAACTTTCTTGCCTTATCTTCACCGGAACTGGTGTGGTCCCATGGCCACTCTAGGAGCAGGGTGTTCCCATGTCCCAATTTCACAGCTGAGGAAGTAGCCCCAGTGAGCCGGAGGGTGCCCAGGCGTGCGGTGAGCTGCCGGCCGGGGCGTGCGTCCCTACTCACGGCACAGCAGCGCCCCTGAGAAATCATTAACTCTGCAGAAGAAAGAAGAAAGGCAGCACAGACTCTTGCGGGGAAAATGGGTAACTCAGAGCAATAAAACCAAGATTGGCTTTCTAGGTTTGAAGAGAGCAGCAGAGTTAGAGAAGCAGCCCCCATAAAGCCCTGTGGATCGCTACCGTGAAAAATAGTGCTCCTGGTGCCCCAGAAGGCACAGGTCTTCTCAAGCAGTTAAGGTGGGAAAGGTGCCGCCTGGACGGGTACAGCTGTGAGGGACTGGGGAGCGCGAGTTCTTCGGGGCACCGGGCAGCGTGCGCCACTCCCAGGGCGCAGCTTCCCTTTCTCTACCCAAAGCCCTTGCCTTCAGCCACTTCCCAGGAAGCGCCTTAGAGCAGGGAGAACCATCTCTTCCAGCACTGACCTGGCGTTCAGACTCATAATCTCTCTGTCCCTCCCTCCCTCTCTCTCTCCCCGACTCTGCCCATCCCTCGGTCCCTCCTCCTTCTGCCTAAGGAGTAAACGCTCATCATACACTGACTTCATAAACATTTTCTGAATAAACCAGTGTCAATTCCTAGCTCTCCTTGCCCTGACTTGCCCTTGACTTCCAGTTCTCCTAGGCACTTGGCAGGTGCAATTACACTCTCCTGTCCCGTGCCCGTTTTCGATGCTGGGCAAAAGAAATGCACGTGGGAGCTTACCACAGGCAACCAGAGCGGCCCGGCAGGGTGTCCCTTTCCTCTCAGCCCGACGTGGAAGAGGGACTGGGTTTAGTACTCTGATATCCGCAGGGCGTGGAGGTGCAGCTGAGCTCCTGAGAGCACCTGTGCTGCGCCTCTCCACACCTCCGCGGAGCACTGAACTTGGAGATCTGAAGGCTGAAGTGGGGGCGCTGATCCACAGTTCATTTCCTGGTTTTCTCAGGTTTCAGCACAAAGCTGCTACACCGTGTGCCAGGACGGAATGTGAGATGCAGAGAAAACACATTGTAGGGGAAACTGACTTTACACATTATCAAAAGTCTTGTGTTTGGTTAGATTTACTTTTCTCTCCTTTTTAAATGAAAACTTTTGACATTAGTCTTCTTTATACACCATCAGCCAACAGGCTGTGAAAACTTATATACAAATAAGAGTTGCTGAAAGATAATCTGCAGGGAACAAGACAAGGTGGTCCACTGTCACCATTCTTATTCAGTATAGATCTGGAAACATTAGTCAGAGCAACTAGACAAGAGAAAGAAATAAAAGGATAAGGTTAGGAAAGGAAGAAGTTAAATTATCTTTATTTGCAGATGACACGATACTCTACACAGAAGATCCCCAAAACTCCACTAAAAATCTGCTAGATTTAATAAGAAAATTCAGTAGCACAGCTGCATCCAAAAATCACTCCAAAATCAGTAGCCTTCCTGCACGTGAATAACGAACTCACTGAGAGAGAAATTAGGGAAACAACACCTTTCACAATAGCATAAAAAAAATGAAATACCTAGAAATCAAAGGAATAAGAGAAATAAAATACCTTTACATTGAAAATACAGCACTCTGAAAAAGGAAATTGGAGAGGATATCAGAAAATGGAAAGCTACCCCTGCTCTTGGGTAGGAAGAACCAATATAATGAAAATGGCCATACTTCCAAAACTGTTATAAAGATTTAACACAATCCAAATCACAATTCCAACAGCATACCTCACAGAATTAGAGAAAATAATCCTCAACTTCATTTGAAGCCAGAAGAGACCTAGAATAGCAAAAGCATTTCTGGGCAATAAAGGCAAGGCAGGAGGCATCACAATCCCTGACTTGAAATTATACTACAGAGCTACTGTAATAAAAACAGCATGGTACTGGCAAAAAACAGACCTGAGGATCAAAGGAACAGATTAGAAGATGCAAAAACAACTCCAGACATACTCAGCCACCTTATCTTTGACAAAGGAGCCAAACGTGTTCACTGGATGAAAGACAGCCTCTTTAATAAATAGTGCCAGAAAAATTGGCTTTCCACAAGCCAAAGATTAGAACTACACTCATATCTTTCACAATGTACTAAGTTAAGATCAAAATGGATCAAAGGTCTAAATATTACAGCAGAAACATTCAATCTGCTGGAAGATAGTATAGGTACAAGAACTCTTGAGGCCATTGGTGTAGGCAAAGACTTTATGAACAAAACCCAGTCATGCAGGAACTAGAACAAAGAATCAACCACTTTTATCTCATCTTATTAAAAAGCTTTTGCAAAGCAAAAGAAACCACCAACAGAGGGACGAGACAACCCACAGTGTGGGAAAAAATTTGTGTCAGTTTTTCCTCAGACAAAAGACCAATATGTAGAATGTGTAAAGAACTAAAAAAAAAAATCAGAGCCCCCCCCCAAATTTAAAGACCCAATCAAAAATGGGCATCTGAAATGAATAGACATTTTCAGATGAGGAAGTAGAAACAACAAATAAATATATGCAAAAATGTTCAACATCACTGATCATTTAAGAGATGCAAATTAAAACAACACTAAGATGGTTGAATGCAGTGGCACATGCCTATAGTCTTAGCACTTGGGAGGCTGAGCCAGGAGGATTACTGTAAATTGGAGGCCAGCCTGAATTACACAGTGAAACCCTATCTCAAAAAGACAAAAAGACAAAAAAAAAAAAAAAAAAAAAAAAAAAAAAAAAAAACTTTGAGATTCCATCTCACTCCGGAAAGAATGGCTATTAACAAGGAATCAACCAATAACAAATGCTGGAGGGGCTGTGGGGAAAAAGG